TAGATTGCCAGTTTTCTCGTAGACCACATATCTGTCTATAACTCATATATTTACCACTGTGTTGCGATTTTAAATGATCGTATCACAACTTCGATAAGCATGTATATGTATATGCTCGTGCGTACTTGTGTCCGTGTGTATTCCCGTGCTAGCTGTGAAAAATTTTGCAATGCAACACGGTCCCAACACGATCCCAAGCTGTTGGAATGAGTACATTCAGTCCGAGGTAGCCCATCATTGGTGATGATGTTATGACCTGGTTGGATGAGACTGGGTGGTACAGTCGAAATAGTCTCTCTCACGGACACAGGGCATTTCAGGATCGGGTGGATACGATTGTCACTCGAAAACGTTGTTTCACAGCCAGCCCGCGTGAGATGCACAGAGAGAGAGAAAGAGGGTCCGAGATATCAGGGAACATTTTACAGATGGGAAAGGGCAACTTGCGACCCATCCTTTTCTACTTGCCATTCGTGCGCTCTCTCATCAGCACCATCACCACCATCCCGTATTTCCGCATTCTAATCGGGTGGGTGTAGAGTTGGTTTGATTTACACAGTCAAACTGCGTACAGCATATCGGACAAATCAGAACTGCTTTTGTCATACGAACGTGAGTACACACATTAGACAAGGGCAACACATCCACATATAGATATAAACATACACATTTGTACAAATATGTGCGCGTGTACTTGGGTGTCTATGTGCGCGTGCGCGTGCGCGCTCGTACACAGTTTCGTTCTACGGTGCCCATGAATTTATGGCCCGCTTTCGTGTTCAGACACGTGCGCGTTTTGCGAAGAAGTAAGTTGCCTTCGCGTCTAGTACCAATTTCGTGTACATCGGGCCCGAAACTCCCCCGGGATGATGATGATGATGATGATGATGACGATCGTGGTGATGATTATGATGATGACTATGATGATCCCATGCTCAGTGGCATACGCATGCGCATGCAGTCAAACGGGCATGCGAGCAAGTATGCGTCCGGATAGGCTTGTCTACTTGACGATTTCTACACGCACTTGTCCGGACAGTACGGCTTCTCCGATCTACAAACACCCACTCCCCGCGTCCTGTACCCAAACTTTTCGCCCTGCTCAAGCAAGGTCCATCGTTAGTTCAGCCCCACCACCACCACCACCACCACCACCAGCCTCGTTTGCTCTCCAGTGGTCTGTCTGCTGGTCTATCTAATCACGGTCGGTCGGTCGGTCGGTTGAATGCGACAGTGACATTCTGAAAATGAGTACAACAGCCTTATCGGACAGTGATCATTTTGCAGCTATGAAGCGCATGCCCGAGTCCAAACTCGCTGTTTTTTTGTGTGCGAGGGTTCATCTCGAGCGAACCACCCACCATTCCTTTTCACTGAACAGACTCTGACTGTGACACCTCTACCCCCCAACCCTCCCTCGTCCTATTCCGCACACAAGACCAGATCTTCATTTTCTCAGGTTGTACTGTAGACGACGTCATGAATACTCTGATGTGTGTGCTCGTGTGTGCGTGTGTGTTCAGCTGCGGGAAATGAACGATGTAAAAGCGCAATTTCTACGACGGCTAAACTATACGGAAAGTGAGGTGTGAATCAAAGCATAGTTCATTTCTGTGGATCCTGTTCGTGCGGTTGTTTAACATTTCCAGAACGTTTGTTGCATTCATGAACTATAGACAAATAGGTAGGCAGATGTTCAGGGATATGTGACGGAGGTCAACTGAAAATGTACATGCATATCATGTTCACCAGAATTTCGTTGTGGAGACAAAACAAAAAATGTGAATAAATAAAGTCCCGTTGTAAGCAAATATTTCACTCGAGCGATACGAAGTTGTAAATTAGTTTGATTCAATGAATATGATTTCCGGAAGCATTGAGTCTGAAACAACGATGATCAAATTTGCACATGATAAAAGTTGACCAATTAGTACACAAAAGAGCGATGTATACCTCAGTATGTTCAGTAAACCGATTGTACACCTTTGGGCTACTGTCCCTTGCATAAGATGGCAGTATATTGTAAAAATGTGCGTTCGTTATTAACTATTCTCAATGTGCTCAGTGAACCGAACATATTGCTAAATGGTAAATGTATGCTTGATTAGGGCATTTTTTTTCGTTTTCATGATTACAAAAAATTGTAGTAGATGACCAAGTAAATCCTCATATCCAAGTACCTGTGTGCTCAAATCCTATCAACGTGAACGGAGTTTTACACTTTTGTTGGTAACGTTGCCTTTCTGAAAACTGATTTTAAGATTCTCTAACTAATCGGGAAGATCAATTTTTTGTAGATGTCACCATCACCATCAAAATAAAATATAGTCAAATTAAGAATGTCTATTATTCATTCATTCGTCATAGACACCATTTTCTGTGAAATGATGTTATCACTTTTGCTTTGGCATAAATGCGAATAATATGGACTTGATGATATGGTATTCAGTAAGTAGGTAATAATGACGAAGAGCGAGAAACCTGTGGCAAATATAGAAACTGCAGTAAGAAATATATATAACAATGTCTTAATTCATTTGATAGCATTTCTCTGGAAACCCATAAACCAGAGAGAAAAGGAACAACAGAAAAGCTGTGATGCTAGTGTAGTATAGTTTAAATTTATTACGGGTGACCGAAACGAAGATGGAACGAGTGAGAGCTTTGGGTGTAGAGAAAAGGATGCATCAGACAGGATTGAGTCACACAGACGGTCACATGATCTAAGGAGGTGGTGTATAATGGAGTTGACCACTGTCACATAAGGGACTGCTCCACATCTAGAGGTACTTTTCAGAGAGAGTCTGGTCAATATGAAATCCTTAGACAACAGGACGGGGAAGATGATAGGGGAACAATGAGTTCAAAAAATGCACGGGAAAATAAACTTGGAAATTACATATAACGGTATCCTTAGGTGTGGACGGTTTAAAGTGTAAACATCAGCCTTCTAACTTAAAGAAATGTGTTTTGCACGTGATAGCACCATATGAGGTCGGCAGACAGGTAATATACAAGGTATTTGATATATCATGATCCTTCAAAGTTTGAATTGTTAACCAAGTGGTTAACAATGAATGATCCGGCACGTATAGCCGTGATTATTGAAAAGCAAAACTTTAACACATTTTTGGGAGTTTAGGGAATAATTAACACTATCGGGTCATTTAACAATGGTGCTTGTGGCTGATGGATGNTGATGGAAGAATTGATGTTGGATGGAACATCAGTCACTACCCTGTTGGCGCACTGAAAAGTGAGAACAGATGGAGTGAGTGATACATCTTCAATGTAGAGGGAGTAAAGAAAAGGGAATAAGATTGCACCCCACCACACAACTTTGTTTGCATAGACAGTGAAAGGGCAGCGGTCAGTAAAATAGTAATGCATCCAATTAAACAAATGTGGCAGAAAATGTTTTTACTGTAATAATATCAGTGGGAGTGTTTCTGTCGACTGAACTCAAAGTGTTCGTATAGTCCAGAAAGCAAATATGAACAGTTTTTTCTAGGTCGATCATGGATAAAAGGGAATGTGTAAGACAAACACCTGCATAAACAATAATTTATTGTATCGGTGAAAACCAGTGGAATCACTGCATAGTTGTTCTTTGCTTGTTATTGATGATTGAACATGCATGTTAATCGGCCTCGCCAACTTACCGATTCCGAAAAAGAAGTCAGGATTCTAAGCAAAGTTTATAAACGTTCGACTGTCCGGATTGACTTCAAATGTAGCGTCCTTATTATCACTGCATGCATTATGTTTCTTCAATTTATCTGATTCCTTCAAAAGTTGAACTATCACACGGTGGAAAATTACGACTGACCAGAGTCTCACATTGTAATATAGTGTATTGTATTGTATTATGAATGCCTCTACCAACGAGAGCCCTCGAAATTCTGCACACGATGGAATTTAGGCAAAGGTTAACTGTTTAATCTATTCTTTTAATTATTTTACAAAAGAAGGTTTCCTCCTTATTGTCGATAGTACCAGAACACGGACAAAACCGCACGGCTTTGAGAAACAAATGTTAACTGACATTTCATCAAATGAATTGAGCTGCACAAAGCTTCAGACAAAAAAATATTGGAGAAGAAAATAAACTTTATGCTCTAAAAATCAGCTCCATGCTCCGAAAGGCTCCAGTTATTATTCTTCAGTGGTTATCTCTATTTACAAAGATGAAAACCAAAACCAGAATTGCCTCAGGGTGGACTCGTGATCGTATCTAAGAAAGGTTGATGATAAGCTGTGTCCAGTTTGTGTATCAAGGGTTGTGAAACGGCGATATTTTACAAAATGTAGGTGCTAGTGGTGATTATGTCACCAGACACTTTGACAATATTGCCACCCAATTGGAGTAGTGTCGTATCGTGAGTCGTGTTTATCTCACTTGCTGTTTTAGTTCATTTTTGTTTGTATTCTTCCTGTCCTTCAGGTGGTTTGCAAATCTCGCTTCCACGGAGAACCTGCGATCCGAAGTGTCTCCTGATTGTGCATTGAAGCGTTTGTGGTTGACCGCGTTTTTGACCGTTGGTTTGACAACCGAACACGGGTTCTTTGGCGGTATTTTATGTATCACAAATTGCCACTGTCATATTATAGTCCAAATTTACATCTATCAGAAAGAAATCAATGTGCCACTTTTTAATGCACGAAGTTATTATCTCAGTGACAACTTCAATGATGTCGCGCATCGCAATCCGCGCCATCTCGCTATAAGAGCCAGGGATCAACTTAAAAATGGTCAAAATTGGGCCTTACGTTGCCATCCTGCGGGATGAAACGCAAATAACCGAATGATTGCAGGTTGAAAAAGGTAGAATGAAAAAGTACCTTGATAAATACTTGTTGGTCGCAAAATCTAACTAGCAGATCATGTCTCGATGGAAAAGTGCGTTGCCGAATTAGTGTTCCAGTAGGGGTGCGCGTACCAGAAACCGAGGTGAAGTTTAGCGATATAATTATTTATCGAGGATGGACTGACTCAAAGGTTGTTTATACAAGTAGTATACATAGATCAGCAAGGAAAACACGCCCCAGCCACGTTAACGCTGCAACAGGGATACATGGTTTCTATCGGCCAAACGATGAACAACGTGGTTGGTTCTTTTGATACTGAAATGTCTTGTATTGACTCAGGCTTGCCACATATACGCACAAATAGGTCGACGTAACTGGTTTCCCACTAACTTGTCCTAAAGCAAATTCCTATTTCCTCACAAAATACCCGATTTTGAACCGAATATAACCTACCTGCTGTAACAATGAAAGTTACTCTACGAACCAGATCGAGTGGGGTATGAGCCAACGTCTTACTAAGGGGAAGTATACAGTCAGCATAAAACAAACCTATCAATTTATTCACCAGAAACACCAAATCAGGGAGGGAGAGGAAGACAAAGTTCGCAGTAACCGCAACTTTTGTCTTCTTCAGTGCAGTTCAACCAAACGGGGACTTGATGTAGCCTTTTTCTTGAATGGTTTGAATCTCCGGGAAGAGTGAATGCACTACCCAAATGAATAGACAATTAGAGCGTTTCAAAGACTATGGCAATATTTGTGAATGGCATTTTGAGTGCTGAGGATTTGATTTCACACATCAAGTAAATAGTGTTGATTACGAGCAGGAACTAAAAAATGGGAAGAAAACATATTTAATTTAAAAAATGGAAAAGTTGTAAGTGTATCTTTCAACCCTTCATCCTGTTACGTCACGTTACGGAATGCCATTAGACCAACAAGAGCATTGTTAGATATAAACATTTATTTTTTGCATGATGATCTTTCTCACAAAACAGTTCTATTTTCTTACCCATGGCGGGATTTTTCAACAATTTTTTTTCACGTATAAAAGTCACCACGGGTCTAGCCCGAATTCAATGCTTGTTCGAGTTATAACGAGGTTGTCTCACCGCTGTTTTCTTTTTTCTCCTGACTTGACGTGCAACATTTTCGTTCCTATATTTTTCTTCTTCAAAACCTCCATGT